CTAGTCGTAGGGTCCTAAAGGAAAATAAAGAATCCTCAAATGATACAAGACCATGGACGATGGACAAAACCAAATCATAGCTGACCAGATGGAGACTCAAATACACAGACAAAAATCAAGAATGTTGAATTGTATCTAAAGTCACAACATGGAGAACTATTTAGCATCCATACTCTCAGAAGAACGCATTAAGTCATCAAAATAAAAGAAGAAAGAAGAGGAAAATGGATTAGCGCTTATCCACGAGTCAAAGCTGCATGTGTCAGAGCAAGTACACCTACCAGTCAGCAAAGAATAATTCCTTTGAAACTACAATGTCAGCAAAGTACAGAGATGTTTAGGCCATGATTGATGCCAGACATAGAAGTAAATAAATAGTACAAAAGACTTAGTGAAACACAAATTCGGTAAGCAAACATTTAATGCAAGATCAAATGCATTAAATGCAAGATCTATAAAGCCTGGAAAAACTAAATAAGAATCAGATGATGACTACTCAAGCATCAAGATCATGTATGATCATAGACGGAAGAACATTCAACAAACACTAGATGAGGCCTACTACTACAAGTCAAAAAATCGAAGTATCAGAAAGAAAGCTAAAACAAGAAAAGTTGTGTCGAACAACAGATGAAACCAGATGGTCAACTTTGGTAAAAGAACAATTAAGGCAAAGCACATCATGAGAACTAGACAAATCAATCAAATTGAATAGACAAATTAGAACATGTGCACCAAACGAAGATAAGTCCAATATCAAATGAAGGTGTGTCAGGACAACCACCAGTGCAACATAATAAATCAAATGAAGCATGAGACAAAGAATAGAAGAAAGTCAATAACACACAAGATGAAGGACAACACAAATTGAAAGACACTTCATACAAAAACAAAGTTTGTCCATTTACATTATTGACCAGACCAAAAAGAATTCAAAGAATAAATGTCAAATGCTAAGACAAAGGTCAAAACCTGAGACGCATAGAACTAACAGATGTAGACAAAGACTACCACGCAAGCGATTAAAGAATCAAGTATCAAAAGATAAACCACGGCATCATCTACAATCTCTCAAATGCTCTCAAAGAAAACGCGTGATCTAAGTGAAGAAACAAAGAAGAAGAAAACAACGCAAAAGTAAAAGCATGCATGTGTCAGAAAAAGTACATTACCTTTACTGAAAAGGACAATACTCTATATTTATGTGACCAGAAAAGGACAAAAAGGTTCCTACGTCCCTGCTAAACTTAGACACTACTACTACCAAGGAAAAAAAGACTTCACCTAAGGTCTATCACAGGAAGCAACATTTAGTGCAAGAACTCAAACATTAAATGAGAAGATTGAACTAATCATGAACGACTATATCTGCTTCAACGGACACTTGCGACGGACAGATTCTACAAGACAATATATATATCACTGTCTCTAACCTTGGAAGGTTGGCTTTTCCTGGATGCCATTGGCCTTGCATTATTAAGTGATATCAAGTCCACGAAACAACGAAACCAGAGATAGAGCATGTAGATTCAAATGTATCATAGGATATTCATCTCTGTAAACTGAGGAGTTCTAAACATGTCACTAGTGCAAAAGAGGCTTTTTACGTCTGTGTTTTCACGTCGGACCAAAACATATCCGACGTAAAAAGACACGGTGGCATTTTTGTAATTTTTGCAAACTTTTTTACGTCAGACCTGGTATGGTCTGACGTAAAAAGTCAAATCTACGTCGGATGCACGTTGTGTCTGACGTAGATTTGACATTTTACGTCGGACCCTACCAGGTCCGACATAAAAAAGGACGCGAAATTGAATAAGAGAGTGCGAGGCACACTGCGCGCATTCACTCTTCATCACTTTTTATTTTTTTCTCTGTAAACCCTCTCCCTCTCCTTTGTTAATAAATCATTTTTTTGTCTTTTGCAGAGGGGTGAACTCTTTGTTACTCATTCGCGCACTATTGTAGCTCATCAGGTATAAATCAAGGTTTCGTTAACACTTTTTTGCTTCGCATTGCTATTGTGGCTATCTGTCCTATTCAATTTTTTGGTTATTCTATTTGTATAGGTCGCTGGCCTTTTCTTTTGGGTTGTTCTACAAAGCAGAACGGCCTGTTCTGCTTGCAGAACGACCTGTTCTCCAAGCAGAACGACCTGTTCTCCTTGTAGAACGGGCCGTTTTGGATGGAGAACGGGCCGTTCTACAAGCAGAACGGGCCATTCTACTTACATTCTTATGTTTTTTTTACTACTTTTTTACGTCAGATTTTGGTAATGTCTGACGTAAATTTACGTCAGTTTTACAAGCCCGATGTAAATTTACGTCTCCCGCATTTACGTCGGTATTTTTTCTGACGTAAAAAGCTCAAAATATCCGACGTGGAATACCTCTTTTGTACTAGTGTGTACATCTTAGGAACAAAGCCTTAGTGAGTCTTATCATATTTGTATCCTCTCTATTAGAGTATACCAAACACTCAAACCAAGATCATCTATCATACATTTGTAAAGCCTGAAGAGGCTAGGGAAAGAATAACTGTAGTTTTCATCCAACTAAATAATGCTTTTACCATTCGTTAGTGAGTTGAATTACATTTCTAACATTAAATTACCAACAATGTTCAAGAATCAAATTTTCATCCCACCATCATAATTTTTGTTTAAGCAGACTAAGGTATAGATCTCACTTAATATATAGGGTATGCTAAAGGCTACCCATTTTGGATCTTAAAAAGAAGAAATATAAGAAAGTGGTTGTCTCACCCTTAATAACTCCCAAGAGTTGAACTACAACACTTTCCTCAAATGTTCCAACCATAATATATGAAAAGATTGAAAGAAAACTTCACTAAGTCTAATGCTTTGAAGTTTTTTTTACAACACTTATTTGAGGATACCAAGAATGCCTTTAGAAATGACCTATCCATGGATGAACATAAAAAAATACCAATACACATAACAGATAATTAAAAGTTGAAAACCACTTGACTATATTAATTTTTATAATACTTATGTTGCATTTTGTTAAGTTAGATGAAGCAATTCCCAATAAGGTTTTGAATGAGACAAATATAATGCATATTGTTATCTCTAACAAATATATTAGTGTTTCAGATAAAGACATAAGTACAGTCAAGTTGAAGAATAAAGAATATACATGTATCACCGTCTACACCTGTACCAAGAGAGATAAGCTAAGCACTAGATAAAGGCTAATCAAAAGAAGGACATACATTAGACAAAGATGCCCATAAACACAGACACAACGCAAATAAAGAACAAAGCGCGAGCAACCAAGATGAAGGGCAAAAGCTAAGAAGAAGTCAGATGGGGAGATTTAACGAAATCAAGCCCAGCACAAGAAGGAAAATAAAGAATCCTCAAATGATACAAGACCATGGACGATGGACAAAACCAAATCATAGCTGACCAGATGGAGACTCAAATACACAGACAAAAATCAAGAATGTTGAATTGTATCTAAAGTCACAACATGGAGAACTATTTAGCATCCAATAGAGAGAGCAAGAGATAAGAAGAATCAAATTACATAAAACTGTGACAATCAAAGTATATAATTTGTAGGTCTATTTTTCCTTTTTATTACATAAATAATATTGTCTAAATCCTAATATATTTTTGAATAAAATTGAAAATTTTTCAAATCATGTTTCCAAAGAGATATTATATGTTTAAATTAGGCTTGAGATGAGAGATTTATGTTCAAAATAGTGTATGAAGGTCTTGATGAACAAGAATATAACATTTGAAACTTGAAAGTAGTTTTTGGCCTTTATACGTCCAAATTGAAAGAAAAAAAAAACTTGTGAGATATGCAAATGTAGTTTGTTTTCTTAATTTTCTTGGACACCTAGATTAACTAAATTCAATTCATGTAACTCAAAATATCCCTTAAATAAGATAAAAAGGTTAAACGTACAATCTAATAATTGATAATGATTGAATATCAAGTCCAATAAAATTCTACGGAATTAAATCTAAATAATATATTAAAATTAATTGCAAAAAATATAATTAGACCAAATATAAAACATAAATAGAAGCTTTAAGATTGATTTATCAAAAGGCCAAAATCAGAAAATCAAGAAAAGAACTTTTGATTTGCTCTTGAGGAATTGTTGAGTAAGGTTGACTTAAGGGTTACCAATTTACAATTTTAGAATAATATTTATATTATAATATCAAGTATTTACTTAAATAATTATATATAATTAAAGGTACTATAATATTCATACCTGTATCCATGCCTATTAAATTTTTTAGGTAAATTCTTGTCCCATCCATTTTCATCTCTATTTACGCTACTTTTTACCCTTTTATTGTGGATAAAGCTTGAAACGTTTTATCATTTATAACTAATTTTCATAATAAAACGGAGTTTGTAGAAGTAATTTTAGTATAAAGTAGTTATAATAATGACTATCATTTTTTTTAATGTGATTTCAAGGATTTTGATTTTGATAAAAATATGATTTTTCTCGTTGAGAAATTTGTAAGTTCTAAGATGACTTTTTGATTTAATCGTTTAAGGAAAGAAGCATTTAATACAAATTTTATCATTAGCTTCAAGGAATAATAAAAATTTAATATATTTGAGATAAACTATATACTTCGTTTGATTTAGAACAACTTATAAACGATCTGTATCCGATACTTCATAAGTTTTTCAAAGATATTTTTACATATATTTCTTCTTTATAAAAATGATTTATTTATTAGTAGTATTAAAAATCTAAGGAACCTAGATAATCTTTTGAGTTAATATAACTTTTTAGAATTACATTCTAAATTTTTTTTTTAGTAAAAGTAATTTTTTAAAAAAATTCAAAGAATAGATGAAGTGGGAAGAGGAAAAAGGGAAACAAATGGAGTATCCCCTTATGAATCTCGACCAGTCTCAGATCCGTTTCAGTCGGCCCATCACATAACGGGCCGGCCCAAGATAACTAGACAGAGGCCCGTGACACCGTCGCCATTTCGTTCCTCCGTTCCCAACCAAAAGGAGAAGAAGAAGAAGAAAAAAAAAAACCACTCTCGAAATCCTCCACTGATCAAACCACAATGGCATTGGCGAATCTGCAGAGGGTGTCCTCGCACGCGCAGCGCCTCCCCTCTCTTTCCTTCTTCTCGAAATCCCTAATCTCGCGCTCCACCTCCACGAAGAAGGTCTCGGACCGCATCGTGCGCCTCTCCGCGATCGACTTCGAGGGGAAGAAGCACGAGGTGGTGGGCCTGACGGGCCAGACCCTGCTGAAGGCCCTCGTCAACACGGGCCTCGTCGACCCAGACTCCCACCGCCTCGAGGAGATCGACGCCTGCTCGGCCCACTGCGAGGTCAACATCGCCCAAGAGTGGCTCGACAAGCTCCCTCCCCGCTCCTACGACGAAGAGTATGTCCTCAAGCGCAATTCCCGAGCCAGAGTCCTCAACAAACACTCCAGGCTCGGATGCCAGGTTCTCCTCGACCACGCTCTTCAAGGTATGGTCGTCGCGCTTCCCGAACCTAAGCCCTGGGACACTTCCTAGTTCCCTCCCATTCCCGAACCTCATCTCTTTTTTCGCTCAATAATGTAATCCTTTTCAGAAACCCTAAACAGAACAGAACTCGTTGAACCTTGCAATTGCATTGCTTTATTATTATATTTTCGCTGTTTTGGATCCGTGCCGATGATTGGCTCGCTATTAATAACTATTTGGAGCCGTGTGTTTTATTTCATCATGATGAGTTGCATTGCTTCGTGGCTTTTTTCTGTCTGTATTCCTCTAATGTGGAGTCCTTTTGCTGGTGGAGGAGTTTGCGAATGGGTGATTAGGGTTTTTTCTTTCTTGGGAGAGTTACGGTTATGGTTTTTTTTTTTTTTTTGGTGCTGAACCTATTTGCAATGGATTCTGATTGTTCAAGCCAGTGTGATGGTTACTTTTGAATTTTTTAACCACTGTCTTGGTTAATTGTCTGATTTGATTTGTAGTTCCTTGGATCCTCGATTCTGATTCTGTGAATTTCAATGATTGGAGGGACAATAGCTAGGCCTATGCAGTCTCGTGTAAGAAAAACTGATTATCTTTAACCATATAATATAACTAATACATTGTGGTTACTAGAGAGAAATATTGGCTCAAAATTATATTCATATTTGAGCGCAAAATGTTTAGGGGTTTGTGGTGAACCTCTGTTCAATGGATTGTGATTGATTGCAAGTGTGGTTGATCAAGCAAGTGTGTTGGCTACTTTTGAATGTTTTAAAGTTTTAACCACTGTCTTGGTTAATTGTTTGATTTGATTTGTACTTCCTCGGATCTTCGATTTGGATTCTTTGAATTTCAATGATTCGAGGGACAATAGCTAGGCCTATGCAGTCTTTTGAGGAAAACTGATTATCTATCTCCAACTCTATTATGACCAATAACATTGTGGTTACTAGAGAGAAACATTCGGAAAAAAGAAATATACATATTTGAGTGCCAATTCAAATCTTAAGTGACCTTAAGAGAAGCATCCAACAGTTTCTTAACATAAAATTAGCATTGCAAATAGTTTTGAGATACTCATGTGTTTGTTGGCTAAGTGTATGTTTGGTTCAGCTTATTTTAATGTGCTTATTTCTATAAATCTTTGTCGAACCTGACATGCTATAACTCTTGCATAAATAAACTTGTGCTTATTTTCCCAAGGACCCGTGCAGAAAAATGAAATGGTATTGGGGTAGGATACAAAAGGCCCTTGATCATAGGGAGCCATAATGAAGTTATCTCTTTTTAGTTAATTAGATAGATGGTTTGTTATTTGATGTGATTATTGATGGATGTGATATTTATAATCCTTCTTTTAGAAGTAGTTTTGGGTTTTTAGCATAGTAATCAATAGCGGCCAGAGTGGTTGCGATAGCGGCAGAGCACAGCGGAGTGGCTCAGCACTGCCACAGAAAACTTGATACAGAGTGTTTTAGCAGAGTGGCCGGAGTGGGTGCAACAGTGATAGAACGAGGTGGCACAATTGCATTTGCGGGTTGGGTAGCAGGTTTTCCCTTACTTCTTTAGTATAGATCTGTCTTCTTTTCCAGAGGATCTCCTGCAGATCAGTCTTCTTCTAAGGGGGGAGGGAGGCAGGCAGGCAGAGTGGCTAGCTGATGGGTCTAGAGGGCTATAGTAAACAAATAAGGTTTGGAAAAGTTGGGTCAATGAGCCCAAATTTATTTATTTTCTCTTTTGGTTTGCTTTGATAGGCTTAATTTAGGAAAGTTTATTTTTACTTCTCTATTTTTTTAGACAGTAACTTCTCTTTATTTTTAATTATTATAATTCAGATACTATTTAATTAATAAAAATTTAATATAAAACCTTAAACATTTTGTTTTCTTAATTTTCTGTTTTTTTATTTTGTTTAAGTACTATAAATTTTTATTATTGAAAATAATTAATGTATTAATTGAGTTATTTTTCTTTTTTTATACTTATATTATTAATTATATATATTATAAATTTTTTAATATATATAAAATAAATTAGAATAGCAGTTATCCTGGGATTCCCTACCCTGCCTTCCCACTTTTGGAGTTGGTGGCACCGCTCCACTATTTGGGATTAATAACTATGGTTTGAAGGTTTGGATGATCATGTAGACCAGGGACAGTATGAAGCTATGATGCACAAACATATTGTTAAAAGAAAATCGGGCTGTGCAAGTGTTTTTCTGTTAATTAAAGAAGTTTTGATATGATGACTTAGTGTTCTTTAATCTTCTTAAAAGTAGTTTTGAATTTTGGATTTTAATGGAGCAGCTGTTGCTTTTCGAAAATATATGTGCCCTTTCAGGTATAGCAATCTAGGAATGTTGTATTAGGCACTAGCAGCTGCAGAATGTGTAACATCAAATAAACATATTACTGTGGAAGAACAATGTAATTGTGTGATGGATTTTATTAAGGATAAAACTTAGATGGAGTTCCTTAGGTGCTTTTGGTGTTGTGTTCCAATCAAAATTGAATTTTCACCTATATAATATATACAATAAAGATTTGCATTAAAAATTGACATAGGTTATTGAGGTAAAACTCCAATTTTGATTAAAGAACAACTCTAAAAGCAACTAAGAAACTGCATCTAAGTTTTTCCCCTTTACTAACCCTTCATCCTTCGTGCATGATTTATCCTTTAGGGTATAATGATAATTTATTAAAGAAATTGTTTATTAATCTAGAATTGGTGTAATTTGTTAGCAGGATGCTAATTAACCTTGATTGTATATTCTATCTGTTGCTGAACCCACTGTGACTCCCTCATCAGTCTTTTTAATTAATGTATTGATAGATAGATTCTTGATTAAGAGGGTGACATTGCAGATCATTCTGCAAAGTGCTCAACAGTTAGTCATAACATAGTGGGTAAATAGAGAAAGACAGATAATTTGTAATGTGGAGCTTGGACCTGAATTTGCCTCTAAATTGCCACCCATGCTTGATTTTCCCACTAACATTTTTGTGAGCAGTACAGTGACAAACACCCACCCTTCTCTGACAACGTTTCCCACATTTCCTGCCATTTTCCAGTGTCCCCTGACCTCTGCAGCTATTTTCTAGCGGGCTCATCACTGTTTCTGGCCATTTTCCAGTGAGCCCATCATTGAACAGCCTTGCTCTGTTCTGTCCTTGCTCTGTTCTATCCTTTCTTCTCTGTTTTTGTCTTCTTCCAAGTTATACCTTTTATTTATTTATTCTGATTGGGTATTTTCTTCCCGTTGAGAATGATTTTTGATCATAAGTCATGAATATAGTTTTTAATTTAGGTTTTTTTTTTTTCAATGCGTGTATTATAAATTATGTAATGTTTATTCAAAACTTGAGAATAGCAGTCATCCCCCCATTGTGTGTTGTGATCATCCATTCATATACTGTGTATTAATGACTAATTATTAATGATTGTTTTCTCTTTGCAAATAGTGCATTTATCTAAATCCTTTTTTATTTTATAATTCATGTTAACATATCTTGGCTGTATTTTATCTTGAAATTTTAAGAGTTTCCTATCCTGTATCTAAGTCATATAGTTCCCATGTCATTAAGTATTTAGGGTTCATAACTCTTCCCCAATGAAAGGAATATATCTTCTCAATCCCAATTTTTATCAAATAATTAAATCTTGATAATTTCCTCGGCTTTTTAGGTTCAGTTGGTTGGTTTGATAAATGAGAAACCATTATATATATTAAAGCTGGTATAATGAATTTATTCCACCATTTGGCATCAGTTTCCAAAATTTTATGTACATAGATTATGAATAGTCTAAATTTCATTTGTCAGGAGATTACTATTATTTTCAAATACATAATCCCTTGTGCAAATCCTGTATGCAAAACAACACACTAGAGCTAATAACTAAATTTTGAGAGAATGATGATTTGGGTCTCGGGATCATGATATAGTTTCCTACATTGTCGTTACTTATTACCCCAATATCTGTTGCGGGGGATTTCTACCCGCACACTTTTTTTTTCTTCTTCAACCTCCCCCTCCCTCTGTTTGTTTCTTTACATCTTGAAAATTAGTTTACAAAATATACTATTTACATTTCAAAATTTAATGTCTGGAATAATGCGATGTGAAGAGGGGTGTAAAGAGAAAAAGAATGGGGATAAGGATAGAATTCCCCTTTGTTATGTCGTGTCTATATAAGCTGCCGATAACGGTTTTTTTATTTTTTTTATTTGCCATATCTTGGTAAGTAATGACTAACCATTGTTACGGCTGGTGATCAATTGGCGCCAGTATAAAGTTTTCACCAATTCACTTACATTGCTTAGCAAAATCTTGTAGAAGACAATTTCTGGGATTCTTGTTTATGGATATGTAGATTAATATGTGCTGGATATTTGAATTATTATCGTATAAAACTTGAAGTCAAAATTTAAGTTTTCTAGTAATTGGGCTCTCGTTCACCTAGTAAATCATGCTATGAGTTTTTGATACATTATAGTCTAAAGATATACCAACTTATCGATTAACACTGTATATAAAATAGTCACAAAAGATAAATGATTTTCGATGGCATGGCAATTTTTTGTGTTATTTCAGAATTGAAATCTTTTTAGCTTTAAGGCTTTGATTGAATAAACAGTTTAAGAGCTTATTGAATTAGTGTTTTCATAAAAGCACTTGTATGTAAATTTGTTTAGGAAATAGGGTTAAATTAGTTCTATATAATCTATAAATTGTTTTCATAAACTATTCCCCCAATAGCATATTAAAGTAAATTCTCAATAACTTGTGAACATATATTTATAAGATTAGTTCAAATAAGTTGTAAATATGTTACTTTAAACATGCTGTTACTGTTAGTGTATTTCAATTAAAAGATTTTTCTAAACGGGAGGAGGTACATATATAGTACCCAAAACCAAAAACATCAATCTAAGCCCTTTTACATCTCACCATTTATGGATGTGAACGCCTTGTGTAGGCCAAAAGTCCCAATACATTTAACATTAGAAGACCGGCGCTTGCAACCGTGGGGAACTTTGGCATATGGTTCACATGAACATCGGTATAAACCGGCTGTATCCGGTAAAAAAAAAAACAAAAACGAAAAAGGTTGTTGCCAGCCAAATAGCTTAATTATTAAATTATGTAAAATTTTCAATTGAACCTTCTTTTATTATTTTGTTTAAAGAAATGAAGTAAGAGTGTGATACCTTTATGCAAGAGTATGTAGCCGTGAAATGTCCGGATCTTCTCTCCAAAGAGTACATTGGACATGTTAGAAAATTAAAAAACCGTACTTGGCCATAACTAAGCATAGGTATCTCATGACGTCATCAATGATCCTAGATGTTCAGTTTTTACAACATAAACAATACACCAACAAAATACACACCTGATGGAGGATCATCTTCCCTCCAAAGATATTGCTTTTGAAAAGGTCAAGGGTTTGTCCGTCACAATTCACCTTCATATAGTGTAGCCTTCCCAAAAGAGACTAGGGTTCTTCAGTAAAATGAGGCAACACAGAAAGAGATAGATTACTCTCATATAAATAATGAAGGATATATACCGTATGGGACCGAGGCCGACCCAACCGACCCGAACAGAGACCGAAATCAATACCCGAACACACCGAACACTCGCCAAACAGAAGGAGTCGGTTTACTCGGCCGATCCCCGGGACTCCACCAATATGATTACGAAGGGATTAACTTAAGGAATAAGCCGGATTAACCCCCTAATTTTTCGGGGCCCAGCTCCTAATCACGACCCAATAAGAAACACTATAAATAGACCCCCTTCGAGGTATGTAACTAACTTTTACCTACCGCATTTATTACGCCGAGCACTTACTTGAGCGTTAGAGTGTCTTTGCAGGCACACCCCCCCTCACATCGGACTACCCAGATAGGAATGAGAAAACCGAGACCCAGGATCAAACCCAACACAACAAGGATAATTGTAGTGTGTATCCTAACACAGGAACATTTGGCGCCCACCGTGGGGCCGAAGAGACATTTTTAGCCCCTTAGAACTCTACGACTGAGACCAAGGCATGGTATTAACTCGCAAAGGACAATCGACGACGACTCAACCAATCCCGAACCCCGAAAGCAATCCCGTTATGACCAATCAAGAACGTTACCCGTACGGAATGCCTCAAACCGAACCGGAGCCTGTGATACAAGAGGTCCGGCCGAACACTGACCGAGACCAACCTGACCTCCAAGATGACTTGCGTGCATTGCGCGAGGAAATGGCTGCTATCCGAAGGCAGAGAGAGGCTGACGCCAGGGAGTTAGCCGAACTACGCCGAGCTTCGAAGCCTTAACCAGACATACGTGCCGTCAACTCCTACCCTCCAAGAGGAGTCGACATATCATGCCCCAACCGACCATGTGACACGGACCCTGGTCACCTCTTTGATAGCTAACAAGGCCGACACCACCACTCACTCTCTAAGGCATCCTTTTTCCCGAAGAATAATGGAGGCAACCCTGCTAGACCACTGGAAAAGCATGCTGATCGAGAAGTACGATGGGTCATCCGACCCCGAAGAACATTTGAACGTTTTCTTGACTCAAGCGACCCTTTCCACTCAGGACGACTCGGCTTTGTGCCGAATATTCCCCACGTCGCTGAAGGGAAGAGCTTTGAGTTGGTTTACGAGACTGCCGAGCGCCTCCATAGACTCGTTTAGCGAGTTGTCGTCCCAGTTCACCCTACAATTCGCAACGAGTAAGCCGTACAAAACGAACTCTTTAGCCTTGGCGGGGGTCCGTCAAGAAAAGAAGGAAAACCTGAGAGGCTTCATGGACCGATTCAACAAGATTGCAATGGAGATTGGCGACCTTAATCTTGTCGTGGCATTAGACCGGCTGAGCACGGCCCTCAGGCCGGGACCGTTCGTAAACAGCTTGTGTAAGAAGCCGCCAGTTGATATGAACGATCTCCGACGCCGAGCTGAGAAGTACATGCAAATGGAAGAGCTTGCGGAAACCCGGAACCAGGCCAGGGTCGAAGAAAATTATAGCCGAAAAGAATCTGGCCGAGAGCAGGTGAGAAAGACTAATGCCGAATCCTCGAATACCCGCCCCCGGAGAGGACCTCGCTACGCGGTGTACACTCCCCTCAATGCGAGTAAGGCCAAGGTGATGGAGCAGGCCCTCGCATCAGAAATCCTTGCCATGCCGAAAAGGGCGAACACACCTCCCAGAGCCGACAAAGCCAAGGCATGCCGATTTCACCGAAATAGGGGGCACTCCACCGAAGAATGCTCGGCGCTGAAGGACAAGCTCGAGGACCTTATCACACAAGTTCGAGGACCTTATCAAACAGGGTCACCTCAGAAGTTTTATCAGCCCCCATGACCACCAGTCAAAGGAAAGAGACCACCACTCTCGCGAAGCTCGTCTGCCAAGAGACCGACGTCGCCGATCACGTTCGCCCGAGAGGCAAGATAGATCGCAGCGTCCTAGGGAAGACAATGACCGACCACGGAAGGTGATCAACACAATAGCCGGAGGCGGGTCCACCTCTTCAGCACCGAGCCGTCCGATCAGTGAACAGTGTGAACCAACCAAGGATGCCGAGGATGCCTCCTATAACCTTTTCCGACCGGGATTTCCGTGGCGTCGACCCCGTACAAGACGACCCCATGGTGATTTCAGTCGAAATGCACAACTGCATCGTGAAGAAAACATTGGTCGACCAGGGGAGCTCGGCCGATATTTTGTAATGGAATACTTTTGTGTAGCTTGGGATCCCGGAAGAGAGCCTAGAGCCATACCACAAACCACTGGTCGGCTTCTCAGGCGAAAGAGTGATGACGAGGGGATGCATTGACTTGTACACTCGCTTTGGATTCGATCAAAAGTATTTTCGGGTGATCAGAATCCGTTACATTGTGGTGCATGCGAACACGTCGTACAACATTCTTTTAGGCCGACCGTCAATCAATGCGCTGGGAGCCATTGTTTCGACACCTCACCTGTGCATGAAATTTCCGTCAAAGGATGGGCAGGTGATCACCGTGCACACCGACCAGAAAACGGCAAGAGAGTGCTACCTCTCTAGCTTGAAGGTGCAACCTATGGTCGTCCCCTAGACGACGACAAGAGGCGTGAATGTGGTCAGACAAGAGATGACCGAGCATATCGACCTCGATCCTCGGCTAGGAGAAGAAGAGCGGATCGAGCCCGTAGAGGACCTCGTCCCGTTTCAGCTGGGACGGGTAGCCGAACAGGTCACGCACTTGGGATCCCAACTGAGTAAAGTCGATTCGAACCAGGTGAAGCGAGCGGTTCGAGATAATAAAGACCTATTCGCATGGACAGCGTCGGACATGCCGGGGATAGACCCCAATTTCTTGTGTCACCGATTGGCTATATGCCGGGACGCCCGACCAGTAGCCCAAAAGAAGAGGAAGATGGGAGACGAGAAGAGAAAAGCCGCGAATGCCGAGGTGCAAAAACTGTTACATGCAAAGTTCATCCGAGATGTCACATACACCACCTGGCTAGCTAATGTGGTGTTGGTCAAAAAATCGAGTGGGAAGTGGAGAATGTGCACCGACTACACCGACCTTAACAAAGCCTGCCCCAAGGACGCCTATCCACTTCCATGCATCGACCGACTCGTCGACGGCGCGTCCGGACATGCTATATTTAGCTTCCTAGACGCCTACTCCGGCTACAACCAAATCAAAATGTATCCGGCCGACGAAGAGAAGATGGCGTTTATAACCGAGAACGCCAATTTTTGTTATAAAGTAATGCTGTTTGGGCTCAAGAATGTCGGGGCGACCTACCAGAGGTTAATGGACAAGGTGTTTCAGGGTCAGATCGGCCGAAATATCGAGATCTATGTGGATGATATAGTGGTCAAGTCCAACTCTCTGGCCGAGCACTTAACCGACCTAGCCGAAATCTTTGGTGAACTTCGTAAGCACAACATGAGACTCAACCCCGAGAAATGTACCTTCGGGGTCAAGGGAGGCAAATTGTTAGGTTTTATGCTATCGGCGAGAGGCATAGAAGCGAACCGAGACAAATGTCAGGCCGTGTTAGACATGCGAAGCCCGAGCAACCTCAAAGAATTGCAACGCCTTGCAGGAAGATTGGTCGCCTTATCCCGATTCCTCCCACGGTTAGGCGACAAAATTAGCCCGATGACAAAGCTCTTGCGGAAGGCTTTGGCCTTCTCATGGGATGAACACTGCGAAGCCGCCTTCGCAGCGTTGAAGACAACCTTGGCGACGCCACCAACCCTCACGAAGCCTAATCCTTTGAGCCCGCTACTTGTATACTTGGCTGTGTCCGAGGAGGCGATCAGTTCGGTTCTGGTGCAAGAAAAAGAAGGCACCCAAGCTCCTATATATTTTGTCAGCCGACTACTACAAGATTCAGAAACCTGGTACCAGTTGATAGAGAAGGTGGCACTTGGTTTAGTACACACTTCCCGATGCCTATGTCATTACTTCCAGAGCCACCGAATTGTTGTACACACTGACTGTCCGATCGCTAAGGTACTAGGAAAACCCGAACTCGCCGGAAGAATGATGGCCTGGTCGATTGAACTCTCTCAGTTCGACATTACGTTCAAACCGAGGGGACCGATCAAGGCTCAATGCCTGGCCGACTTTGTAAACGAACTTCACCGGCACGGCCAATTTGAGGAACATTGGTGGACCCTCCATGTAGACGGATCCTCAAACAACCAGGGGAGCGGGGAAGGAGTGATCTTAGAAGGACCGAGAGGGATAACCCTGGAGCAATCTTTGCGTTTCCAGTTCAAAGCTTCAAACAACCAAGCCGAATACGAAGCTCTATTGGCAGGATTAAGGCTGGCCGAGGACATGGGTGCATCAAAAATCAAATGCCGAACCGACTCCACAGTGGTGGCCGAGCAAGTTGGCGGAAATTTTCTAGTAAAGGACCATAGCATTATGACGTACTATCATGCCTATCAAAAACTGAAGGCGAGCTTTCAGGAGGTGTTGGTCAAGCACATCTCGCGCGAGGACAACACCCGTGCCGACCAGTTGGCTAGGTTGGCCGCGACCAAGAAGCCGGGCCATTTGAGAACAATCATTCAACAAGAGATCGACCACCCCAGTGTCGAGGCTAAAATGGTGGCAAGTGTCGAGGCCAACCTGGCCGACCCCAGTGACCCCCCAGATTGGCAAGACGAACTCAAGGCATTTCTCACCAACGAAATCACGCCGGCCGAACCGACCGAGGCCAAGCGATTGAGAACTCGAGCTAGTAGATACGTCGTTATCGCCGGCCAGTTGTATAAACGCGGCTTCTCTACCCCCTTGCTTAAATGCCTGAACCCCGACGAGGCCGACTACGTCATGAGAGAAGTACACGAAGGTATTTGCGGAATGCACTCAAGAGCTAGGACGACCGTCTCCAAGCTCTTGAGAGCCGGGTACTATTGGCCGACCATAAACTCTGATTGCGCAAAGTTCGTAAAGAAGTGCCAACCGTGTCAAAAGCATGGCAACTTGATCTATCAGGAGGCCGAGCAGTTACATTGCATTCCCACAGCATGGTCATTCGCCACCTGGGGGGCCGACATACTCGGTCCCTTCCCGGTTGCCAAGGGCCATGTAAGTTCCTCATCGTCGTCGTGGACCTATTCACCAAATGGATCGAAGCCGAGCCCTTGGCATGTATCTCGGTCATCAAGTCAAAAAATTTCTGTGGAGGAATATCATCACCCGTTTCGGTGTCCCACACACACTTTTGACCGACAATGGCCTGCAATTTACCGACCGACCACTAAACGAATTCCTAGCCGGCTTAGGAGAGCAGTCCAAGGTCACATCGGTCGAGCACCCACAAACAAACGGTCAGGCCGAGTCAGCCAACAAGGTCATCCTTGCAGAATTGAAGAGACGGTTAGGGGAAGCAAAAGGAGCATAGGCCGAGCAGCTACCCGAGGTGTTATGGGCCTATCGATGCACCCCCAGTCAACTACGCAAGAAACACCTTTTTGTCTAGTCTATGGATCCGACGCGATGATCCCAGTGGAAATCGGAGAACCATCATTCCGCCGAGCCCACTTTGATGAAGTAAGCAACGAAGCCGAACTCCGAACAAACTTAGACACGATAGAAGAAATTCGTGACCGAGCACTTCATCACTTTTTATTTTTTTCTCTGTAAACCCTCTCCCTCTCCTTTGTTAATAAATCATTTTTTTGTCTTTTGCAGAGGGGTGAACTCTTTGTTACTCATTCGCGCACTATTGTAGCTCATCAGGTATAAATCAAGGTTTCGTTAACACTTTTCCTCCAGACACAACGTGCATCCGACGTAGATTTGACTTTTTACGTCAGACCATACCAGGTCTGACGTAAAAAAGTTTGCAAAAATTACAAAAATGCCACCGTGTCTTTTTACGTCGGATATGTTTTGGTCCGACGTGAAAACACAGACGTAAAAAGCCTCTTTTGCACTAGTGACATGTTTAGAACTCCTCAGTTTACAGAGATGAATATCCTATGATACATTTGAATCTACATGCTCTATCTCTGGTTTCGTTGTTTCGTGGACTTGATATCACTTAATAATGCAAGGCCAATGGCATCCAGGAAAAGCCAACCTTCCAAGGTTAGAGACAGTGATATATATATTGTCTTGTAGAATCTGTCCGTCGCAAGTGTCCGTTGAAGCAGATATAGTCGTTCATGATTAGTTCAATCTTCTCATTTAATGTTTGAGTTCTTGCACTAAATGTTGCTTCCTGTGATAGACCTTAGGTGAAGTCTTTTTTTCCTTGGTAGTAGTAGTGTCTAAGTTTAGCAGGGACGTAGGAACCTTTTTGTCCTTTTCTGGTCACATAAATATAGAGTATTGTCCTTTTCAGTAAAGGTAATGTACTTTTTCTGACACATGCATGCTTTTACTTTTGCGTTGTTTTCTTCTTCTTTGTTTCTTCACTTAGATCACGCGTTTTCTTTGAGAGCATTTGAGAGATTGTAGATGATGCCGTGGTTTATCTTTTGATACTTGATTCTTTAATCGCTTGCGTGGTAGTCTTTGTCTACATCTGTTAGTTCTATGCGTCTCAGGTTTTGACCTTTGTCTTAGCATTTGACATTTATTCTTTGAATTCTTTTTGGTCTGGTCAATAATGTAAATGGACAAACTTTGTTTTTGTATGAAGTGTCTTTCAATTTGTGTTGTCCTTCATCTTGTGTGTTATTGACTTTCTTCTATTCTTTGTCTCATGCTTCATTTGATTTATTATGTTGCACTGGTGGTTGTCCTGACACACCTTCATTTGATATTGGACTTATCTTCGTTTGGTGCACATGTTCTAATTTGTCTATTCAATTTGATTGATTTGTCTAGTTCTCATGATGTGCTTTGCCTTAATTGTTCTTTTACCAAAGTTGACCATCTGGTTTCATCTGTTGTTCGACACAACTTTTCTTGTTTTAGCTTTCTTTCTGATACTTCGATTTTTTGACTTGTAGTAGTAGGCCTCATCTAGTGTTTGTTGAATGTTCTTCCGTCTATGATCATACATGATCTTGATGCTTGAGTAGTCATCATCTGATTCTTATTTAGTTTTTCCAGGCTTTATAGATCTTGCATTTAATGCATTTGATCTTGCATTAAATGTTTGCTTACCGAATTTGTGTTTCACTAAGTCTTTTGTACTATTTATTTACTTCTATGTCTGGCATCAATCATGGCCTAAACATCTCTGTACTTTGCTGACATTGTAGTTTCAAAGGAATTATTCTTTGCTGACTGGTAGGTGTACTTGCTCTGACACATGCAGCTTTGACTCGTGGATAAGCGCTAATCCATTTTCCTCTTCTTTCTTCTTTTATTTTGATGACTTAATGCGTTCTTCTGAGAGTATGGATGCTAAATAGTTCTCCATGTTGTGACTTTAGATACAATTCAACATTCTTGATTTTTGTCTGTGTATTTGAGTCTCCATCTGGTCAGCTATGATTTGGTTTTGTCCATCGTCCATGGTCTTGTATCATTTGAGGATTCTTTATTTTCCTTCTTGTGCTGGGCTTGATTTCGTTAAATCTCCCCATCTGACTTCTTCTTAGCTTTTGCCCTTCATCTTGGTTGCTCGCGCTTTGTTCTTTATTTGCGTTGTGTCTGTGTTTATGGGCATCTTTGTCTAATGTATGTCCTTCTTTTGATTAGCCTTTATCTAGTGCTTAGCTTATCTCTCTTGGTACAGGTGTAGACGGTGATACATGTATATTCTTTATTCTTCAACTTGACTGTACTTATGTCTTTATCTGAAACACTAATATATTTGTTAGAGATAACAATATGCATTATATTTGTCTCATTCAAAACCTTATTGGGAATTGCTTCATCTAACTTAACAAAATGCAACATAAGTATTATAAAAATTAATATAGTCAAGTGGTTTTCAACTTTTAATTATCTGTTATGTGTATTGGTATTTTTTTATGTTCATCCATGGATAGGTCATTTCTAAAGGCATTCTTGGTATCCTCAAATAAGTGTTGTAAAAAAAACTTCAAAGCATTAGACTTAGTGAAGTTTTCTTTCAATCTTTTCATATATTATGGTTGGAACATTTGAGGAAAGTGTTGTAGTTCAACTCTTGGGAGTTATTAAGGGTGAGACAACCACTTTCTTATATTTCTTCTTTTTAAGATCCAAAATGGGTAGCCTTTAGCATACCCTATATATTAAGTGAGATCTATACCTTAGTCTGCTTAAACAAAAACAATGGCATTTACTCTATCTCTAGCAATAAGCACCATTAGCTGCTCTATTTCAAGTCAAAGGTTTAAAATCATTTCTCAATCTCTTAAAAAGCTCAAGTTCAAGTTAAGGGTGATGAAGCCATAACAAGCATTATGCACAGAAATAGAACAATAAAACTGAATAACAACTTAGATTGATAGCTTAGAGTTTACACATGATAATGGGTTTAGTTACATCAAACCCCAACAAGGGTGAGTTTAGCTACACATAGACATGTAGAACTCTACAAATGATGAAGAAAGGAAGAAGCTTGATCTTGAAGGTTCTAGAGCTCTCCAGCCGCCACACAAAGTCCAAGAATGATCCTCCTT